TTCTCCAAACCCTGATGGATCCCTGAAGGCCAGATAGAATACTAGAAATTTGCTGCAGAATAAACAAGTACAGGGACAGCTGAAATATGCGCTAGGTATACAGCCACACACACACACACACACACACACTCGCTGAGCATGCTTTCTAATATCATTGGAGAAAATAGCATCATGAAACAGATACTTGCATGGGATAACCAGAATGAAAAGAGTGGCAACATCAGGCAACATCTGGCTGAGAGTAGAATAGAGGTGTACCATAACTCTAACATGATGTTGAATGGAAATGAGATTTTCTGTTTGTCATTTCAGAACCAAGAGTTGTCCCTACTTATAACCTAGAACTAATCCCCAAGGTGTTTCCTGGTCAGGTGACTTGACCAAGGAAAACCCCTGGCCCTGTAGGCATGCCTGCTTGAGGATCGTAGGGATCCAATCACGAGACTGGCAGCAGTCTTATTCAAAACTCCTGGCCCTGTAAGAATGCCTGCTTGAGGATCGCAGGGAACCAATCACGAGACTGGCAGCAGTCTTATTCAAAACTCCTGGCCCTGTAAGCATGCCTGCTTGAGGATCGCAGGGAACCAATCACGAGACTGGCAGCAGTCTTATTCAAAACTCCTGGCCCTGTAAGCATGCCTGCTTGAGGATCGTAGGGAACCAATCACGAGACTGGCAGCAGTCTTATTCAAAACTCCTGGCCCTGTAAGCATGCCTGCTTGAACTTTAATTTTTCTATATCAAAGACACCCAGAGCTGTTTGAATGGAGGTAATTAAGCCCTTTTATCTCAGACTCATTTTGAATAAAATCGATTGTCACCAGGGGGAGAGAGAGAGAGAGAGAGAGAGAGAGAGAGAGAGAGAGAGAGAGAGAGAGAGAGAGAGAGAGAGAGAGAGAGAGAAGAGAGAAGAGCGAGCTATAGATAGAGAGAGAGGATGGAGGAGAGAGAGAGAGACAGAGAGAGAGAGAGAGAGAGAGAGAGAGCATGATACATATCTACAGCATAATCAAAGAGCGATTAACAGGATTAAATCAGAGGGTTACTTGAGTTTAGTTCTTTTATCAACACTTTTAGAGGCGAACAAGATGAGTTTAACCCTCGTGGTCCTCTGTAGCTCAGCTGGTAGAGCACGGCGCTTGTAACGCCAAGGTAGTGGGTTTGATCCCCGGGACCACCCATACACAAAAATGTATGCACGCATGACTGTAAGTTGCTTTGGATAAAAGCGTCTGCTAAATGGCATTTTATTATTAACCCCGTTTGCACAGCACAATCCACTACCATTAGCCCAAAGCTCCTCTGTTGAGCTTTTGTTGTGAACTCACAAAGAAAACAAAGCTAGACAGGAGAGCGGCTAATATTTGCCTTGCTGGCAGCACTTCACTGGAAATATTATAGCAGTCGTTTTTGTGTGTGTGTGTGTGTGTGTGTGTGTGTGTGTGTGTGTGTGTGGTGTGTGTGTGTGTGTGTGTGTGTGTGTGTGTGTGTGTTGTGTGTGTGTCGGAGCCTCTGGTGGAAGAAGGATTGGGATAATAATTTCTGACCATCTGGGTGCTGGTCTGCTGCTGGTCTGGTCTGGAGGAAAGCCGTGTGATGGAGTGTCTGTCTGCCTGCCTGCCTGTCTGCCTGTCTGCCTGCCTGCCTGTCTGCCTGCCTGTCTGCCTGTCTGCCTGCCTGTCTGCCTGTCTGTCTGTCTGTCTGTCTGTCTGTCTGTCTGTCTGTCTGTCTGTCTGCCTGTCTGTCCTGAGGCCTGAACCATCATCATGGCTGGTCCACTCTGAGGCTCAGCTGCAAGGCAACAACAGAGGCTAGCGTTGCCAGCAAACCATTAGTCTATCAGCCAGACATAAAGATAAAGGGGGAGAGAGAAAGGAGAGAGAGATAAAAGAGAGAGGGAGAAATAGAGGGGCGAGAGAGAGAGAGAGACAGAGAGAGAGAGAGAGAGAGATAAGAGAGAGAGAGAGAGAGAGAGAGAGAAATATGTTCCACTAGCACACCAATATGAAAACAAGAGTGCTGAAGGAGATAATGTATGAAAGGATGAGTCAAAACAGGAGGGTAATGCGTTTCTTTATACATCTCCTGAGCAGTATAGATAAGGTAATGCCTTCAACACAATTCTGTAGCAATGTAACGACATCATCCATATGCCAACCATTATGGGAACATTATTATGATATGATACTGTTTAATCATGAGTGAATGCCTTTTTATGGAGCTCTCTTTGCCAAATATCCTCCAAGAGATTACCATAATCAAGAAGTTATTAAATTTCTGTTTCCTTCCTTCCGAGACCCATCCACCAACGCATCCTCCCTTCCAGCCCCACCAGTCACCTTCCTTCCAATCCAACCCAGAGCCATCCCCCTTCCACACCATCCGAAACTTTCCTTCCAGCCCCACTCCTTCCCAGACCCTCCGCGCGCCGAAGCCTCGCCTCCCTGGGTCCTCCTTGGCCCGCTACGTCTTCCACAGATCCCGTTTCCGTCTTCAAATCCCAGTCTCCGAAGGTCCGACCCCCCGTTGGGTTTCCGGCCCCGCGGCTCTACCCACCCTGCGGATCGCTCTTCCCTCCAGCCATTCCCCCTCTTTTAGCACACGGAGGGTCCGTTTCCTTCCCCAATCCCTCCCGAAAATGCCTTCCCAAAAAGGGGAAGGAGAAAAGGGGAAGGACAAAAGAAAAAGACCTCCTTCCACTTTCCTTCCCAACCACCACCAACCACACCCACCAAATCCTCCTAATTCCAAATTCACCACCTTCACCATCCCTTCCTTCCCTTCCCGCCCCGACCCCTTTCCTTCCCCTCCACCCCCCCCTCTTCCCCTCGTTCCCTCCTTTCCCCCTCCCTTCCCCCCCCTCCTCCTTCCCGCTTCCCTCTCCTATCGCCTTTTCCTTCCCCCCGCCCCCGGGTCGCCTCCCCCCACCACACTTCCACTATCCACGCGTTTTTCCTCCTTCCTCTCCCCCGTGTCCCCGGTGAAAAAAGGGGGGGGGGGAGCCTGGCACCGACAACGTCCTTCATTGATGTGGATCAGAGAGAGATGGAGGTCGGCATCCAGGTTGAGCTTAGATTAGCTGAGCTTCAGACGATAGAAGATAAGATACAGATAAGATACTCGCACTCTCACTACCGCCTCGACGCGACGCCTCTACTCTCCTCCCTCGCCTTCCCATCGCCTAGAATCTCCTCTCCTCTCCGCTACTCCTAGCCGCTCACCTCCGCTCCTCTAATAGACTATACTCTCCTCTCCTCAGACTCTCCTCTCATCTCCTCTCCTAGCCTCACCCGCTCCTATCGTCGCTTAGTTTCTATATCGGAGGCTTCGGCGAGAACCTCGTTCTCCGTCGTTTCGCCTCGCTTCTCTTCTTCTCCTCTCTTTCCCTTCTCTTCCTCTTCGCTTCTACTTCTCTCCTCTTCTCTTCTCTTCTTCTCTCTCTTCTCGTCGCGTCCTTCTCCTTTCTCCTTTGCTCTTCTCCTTCTCTTCTCCTTCTCTCTATTATCGTAGCGGCTTCCTTTATGTACTTTCCCCGTCTTGTTTTTCCGTTCCCTTATTCCCAATCTGGGCTGCTTGAGAGCATTGCTTTGGTTAATTGTAGCGACAGACAAATGTTCATATGTCTCGTTAAAAACAATTTGTTTGAAAGCTGGTTTCAAATATTTAATATGGCCAAAGCCACATATAATAACACAAAATAACGCCACTAATAAATGCAACCAGGCCATGTTACAGCCCTAACAGTAAAATAAGCTGTTTTGCCTTTGTGCAAACTATGAGAGAGATGTTTGAGTTACAGAATTAAAGCGGTGACATCACTGTGTGGTCGCCGGGCCGACAGAACAGGAAGGGAGTGTCTGACCAGTACTACCCTCAGCTGTGGCCTTGGCAACCACAAACTCTCCCCATCAGCTGGACCCTGTCACCGTGACGACGACCACAGCTGGACCCTGTCACTGAGACGACAGCAGGACAGCCGTCCTCACCACATCGAGGGCAGACTGAAAGCCCACGTGGCAACAACATTTTGTTACTCATATGACTCCTCAGTCTAAACTGGTATTAAATTAGCCTAGTCCCACATCTGTTTGTGTTATGGTCCCACCTCATTGCCACTGTTATTGTCAATCTAAATAACGCTCATAGGGGTTAGCAAAAGAACACAAACACACTGGCACTCAGGCTAGCATCATACAGCATGTGGGCTTATATTTATTTACAGCTGCAACAATTTGCATTTGGTTTCATCCAAGATGTTTACAGTGCGAGGAAAAAAGGAACTTAACAGTTATTCAATTCAAAGACAGAAAGTCGGATAGTCTTATGATTAATTAAAAAATATGTATTCGAGGGGCAGTCGTTCCGCATAATCTGCTTGTAAATGTCTGCAACAGAATGTGCTGCACTGTCAACTAAAGAGGAACTCTCTGTAAATATCTCCCCTTTCTCTCCGGGGTCTCCTATGACAAGAAGAGTACTCCAGAGAGAAATTCATTATTCTCACTATCATTAGAACTCCTGACTGTTTTACCTCAGCTACAGTTCAGCTGCATCATTATATCTCCTGACTCTGTTTTACCTCAGCTGCAGTTCAGCTACATCATTATATCTCCTGCCTCTGTTTTACCTCAGCTGCAGTTCAGCTACATCATTATATCCCCTGACTCTGTTTTACCTCAGCTGCAGTTCAGCTACATCATCATATCTCCTGACTCTGTTTTACCTCAGCTACAGTTCAGCTGCATCATGATATCTCCTGACTCTGTTTTACCTCAGCTGCAGTTCAGCTACAATCATTATATCTCCTGACTCTGTTTACCTCAGCCCCTCAGCTGCAGTTCACTGCATCATTATACTCCTGCCTCTGTTTTACCTCAGCTGCAGTTCAGCTACATCATTATAATCCCCTGACTCTGTTTTACCTCAGCTGCAGTTCAGCTACAATCATCATATCTCCTGACTCTGTTTTAATACCCTCAGCTAACAGTTCAGCTGGCATCATGATATCTCCTGACTCTGTTTTACCTCAGCTGCAGTTCAGCTACATCATTATATCTCCTGACTCTGTTTTACCTCAGCTGCAGTTCAGCTACATCATTATATCTCCTGACTCTGTTTTACCTCAGCTGCAGTTCAGCTACATCATTATATCTCCTGACTCTGTTTTACCTCAGCTGCAGTTCAGCTACATCATCATATCTCCTGACTCTGTTTTACCTCAGCTACAGTTCAGCTACATCATCATATCTCCTGACTCTGTTTTACCTCAGCTACAGTTCAAGCTGCATCATGATATCTCCTGACTTCTGTTTTACACCTCAGCTGCAGTTCAGCTACATCATTATATCTCCTGACTCTGTTTTTACCTCAGCTGCAGTTCAGCTGCATCATTATATCTCCTGACTCTGTTTTACCTCAGCTGCAGTTCAGCTACATCATGATATCTCCTGCCTCTGTTTTACCTCAGCTGCAGTTCAGCTACATCATTATATCTCCTGACTCTGTTTTACCTCAGCTGCAGTTCAGCTGCATCATTATATCTCCTGACTCTGTTTTACTCAGCTGCAGTTCAGCTAACATCATTATATCTCCTGCCTCTGTTTTACCTCAGCTGCAGTTCAGCTACATCATTATATCTCCTGACTCTGTTTTAACCTCAGCTGCAGTTCAGCTACATCATTATATCTCTGACTCTGTTTTACCTCGCTGCAGTTTCAGCTGCGACTCATGATATCTCCTGACTCTGTGTTCCTCGCAGCATTCAGCT